TATTTTTTCAAACTTTTTTATTTCTGTTATTCGAAGTAATCACCCATGCAATCGACGCATCTTTTGCCAACGCATTGGCAGTTTATTGATGCCCTTCTTATAAAAATCAGCTGGACGGGAGGCAACAAACTCTTCAAAGGCATTTTGTGCTGCCTCTCGGGAATTGAATTTTTTAACCACTAAAAAGTTGTCTACATTTTGGAAAAAGTATAGTTTTTTTTTACAGTTACAGTTATATTTCATATAATGTGCAAATATTTAATATTTCTTCACAATGTTATTATTTTAATTACATTTTTTTTTAAAGTTGCTACGAATATTTATTCCTTTTGAGGGATACAGACCAAGTTGCAGGGGTCAGCTAATGTTAAATAAATACAAATGAATAAAATAAAATCAAAAGGATTGAATTTACATCGCATTTGCCCAACTTATTTTTGTGTATAAATATGTGAATGACATTTAATCTATACTAATATTCTAAAGTTGAAGAGTTTGTTTGTTTGTTTGAACGCGCTAATCTCAGGAACTACTGATCCGATTTGAAAAATTCTTTCAGTGTTAGATTGCCCATTTATCGAGGAAGGCTATAGGCTATATATCATCACGCTAAGACTAATAGGAGCGGAGCACCGATGAAGAGTGTTTCAAAAACGGAGAAAATTTATTACTATCGAGAGACGCAGACGAAGTTGCGCGGGTCAGCTAGTATAATATAATATAATATTGACTTAATTAAAAACACTATAAAGAAAAACAAAGGACATCATAAAAATGTACCCAAAAATTACAAGTGCCAGCCAGTAAAAAAAAAACTGTGTCCTCTTACGGCAAATGATCTTTCAAACATTTTTTATTACTTATTACAACAAACGTCTACAACCAACTTCTAGACCCAAAATGGATCTCCGAAAATCATAAAATGAGCATTTACATTTATGTATCAATTAACTATTTCTGAATAATTAAAAACCTAAACAACGCAAGACCATTGAAATAAGACCTGCGGAATTATAACATATGAATAAAGCCATTTTTTTTTTATTTCTAAGTCATATAACTCACTAGCTGACCCGCGCAACTTCGTCTGCGTCTCTCAATAGTAATAAATTTTCTCCGTTTTTGAAACATTCTTCATTGGTGCTCCGCTCCTATCGGTCTTAGCGTGATGATATATAGCCTATAGCCTTCCTCGATAAATGGGCTATCTAACACTGAAAGAATTTTTCAAATCGGACCAGTAGTTCCTGAGATTAGCGCGTTCAAACAAACAAACAAACAAACAAACAAACAAACTCTTCAGCTTTATAATATTAGTATAGATAAGTAATCGGTCTTAGCTCTTAGCCGTCTAAAGAAAAAAATCTTAGAATGTCATTCTCTAACCGATAAAACCATTTTTTTCGTTGGCCGGCACTTTTTTTTTTGGGTACTTTTTGTATGGAGCGTGAATGGTGTCCTTTACTATAGTTGAATTCAATTTTTGTATGTATACATTTATAACAGATACAAACCTAGGATAGCAAAATTATCTACAACATAAAATGTAAAATATTTTTATAGTGCAGCCGCATATGGAATACTGTTCTCATCTCTATGCAGGGACAACTGTGTACCAGCTTCTCCCTCTGGACCGCGTCTAACGAAGAGCGACTCGATTCGTCGATGGCCCGAACATCTCTGATCGACTCGATCCCTTGACGTTACGTAGAGATGTGGCTTCACTCTGCATTCTCTATCGCATATATCATGGAGAGTGCTCCGAGGAATTGTTCGGCCTAATACCAGCAGCAACATTCCGCCCTTGTTCCACACGGCAAAATTTTTATACCCATCACCTGGATAGTTGGCGTTCCACTACTGTGCGCTTTTCGAGACACTTTTTGTCCCGCACAACAAATCTGTGGAACAGGTTATCGTCTGCGGTATTTCTGGACCGATAAGTCCTTTAAACCTTGAAAAGAACGTCCTTCCTAAATGGTCGGCATTTGTAACTCCTGAGTTGCAGGCGTTCATGGGTGGCGGTGGTCGCTTTCCATCAGGTAACCCGTCTGCTCGTTTGCCTCCTCTTCCATAAAGAAAAAACATATATCTACTTCTTATTATAAAATTTAAAAATAAAGATGCTTAACTAAATTTAAATAATCATTAGCATATAATGTATAAAATTCAACACAGAAATTAAAGGAGAATTATCAAAATCGGACTACTCTGTAAAAAGAAGAAAGAAAAATACGCGTCGACTTCAGAACCTCCGTCTCGTTCTTTTTTCGTCGGTTTATAAAATAGAACAATACAATTAATTACCTAATGGAGTTAGGTTGTAGACGAAGGCGAAAGGCTTTTTAAAAACACACTAGAGACGTGTGCTTTGCTTGAAGAGCAATTCAGAACTGTTTATTGAATCAAAAAGCTTATCTTAAATACAATTCTTAAAACAAGGGTTTGTTTATATAAAATTAATGTTTCCTGTGTGACATTACCAGGAAGTGTATGACACTTTGAATAAAAAGCTTATCTTAAATACAATTCTTAGAACAAGGGATTGTGTATACAAAACTAGTGTTTCGTGTGAGACATTACCAGGAAGTGTATGACACTTATTTTAATGTCCTAATTAACAATAAGGCCTTAGGCCATTATGGGATGGCATTGGTTACATTTACATAGGGACATAGCTATGGTCCATATTAAATTAAAATCAATTTTAAATCTAATGTTGGGTACAATAGGTGGTCGTGATAGCGATCTCTACCTGATAACCTTTGGGTGGATTTAGTTTCAGGAGAATGACTGATACTATTAGAGATAAGTGGGCTTAAACAAACATAAACCCCTTAAGCTATGCTATAATAGTACCTACGACTATATAGATAACAGCAAATCCAAATAGATCACCAAAGAGTTCAAGTGGTAGATAAAGAACAATACATCTTAGTAATGCAGGGCATCCATGCATTTACAGTCGAAGAGTCATGTTTCGTCACAAATAGGCCGGCTCAAATGATGACATTTATTTCTGTAAGTAAATCTTTTCAGATATTTTTACAAGTCGGACTTTACTGCTAGATGAAGCCGGCATTTTCTAAGATTCACTCTGGGAAGAAACGCCGAAAGAAACCACCGGTGTCTTTTTTATGGTCTGTAAACAAAGTTAAAGTAAACTGTGCGAATACAGTGTAGGGTCTGGGTAGGCCTTTTGAAGAAAGGACCATAGTTTTGAGTCGGCCAGTCCATACAGATGGTATGTGGGCCTCAGACATCATGTAGCTTAACCGATATTAGTATAAAGGAGTGTTACTCTACGAGTAATACTACAACTAAACAAATAAACAGAAAATTGATTCAGTGATTCTTTTGTTGCTTTTTACTCAATTAGGTTACTGGAGCCCAAACCTCCCTGGAGCCAAAGCCCTCTTGAGTTGCAGACTACAATCCATGGGGGATAAACACTTTCCATAAGGTGACGTGTGGGCTCAGTTTGCTCCCAATAAAAATATACCTACCATAAAAAATTTAAACAGTAAAAAAAATAAAGAGATAATCACTAAAATTAATAAAATTCTACTATAAAGAAACAAATAGCTATCTTTAAACACCAAATATCAAATGTAGCTTTCATTTTATAGTACAATTATAGTTTGAAAGGCAAACAGAAATCTTACAATGCCAATAAACAGTACTATATTTAAGTAATAGTGTCTGTTTAATAAATAAAAAAATGAATTTACCTTTGATTACTCCTGTAACCCAGTAGCTTTCATGTTGCAATGCATACCAAAGGTTCACTAGGTACCTACATATAATAATCTCGCACATCTTGTACACAACTGTCTGATTCCGAACTACCAACTACCGATAAACATCAACACTTGCAGTATCCTAACGGATACCTTAAATTTTATGTATAGTTACTTCTCTCTATCTGTTTATTTACCGTAATTTAACTTTTTATGTTCCCAAGGAGGTTTGGTATCAGTAAGAAGACTGGTCTATCCAGTCAAAATCCCTTGCAATGTTGTGGTGATCAGAAATAGAAGACGGTAGAAAAACAATTAGTGATGTTAAATCACTGCATGGCCTAATCCTATTTTAAATGTGTTTGTAGTAAGAGATGGGTTGTCTATTGCATACAAAAGCCTGGGGTGCATTTCCCCTAAACTATGAGGCTAAGGCAGGTTAGTTACACCAGGTCCGGATGTCTTAATAACAGCAGTTCCCAGATCCCTCCTATTAGAGGCGCAGATTGGCACACCGTGTGGATTTAGTCGGTCCGATTCCGACACACCACCCTGCCGCAAACCCCGGTGGGGTGATGGCCCGAGAGAGTTTCCACACGTAAAAAAAAAAGGTTAATTACACCATTTATTATTGAAGAACGGCTAGACTGATTTTTATAATCTGGGATTTGTTTCCGCCCCGAATAGTAGAATAGCTATTATTATAAATGTATGAGGCATTGTATATGGCACAAAAACTGAATAAAGTGTAGCGCTGTGGCTAAAAACGCAGGTTAAACTGCAAGGAATTGCTAATATTTGTATAAATAAATACATACAGTGTTTCTTCTTATGGTGAGGGCAATAATTTAGTTCATCTCAATTATTATTGGAGTTATATCAGTTTTCTCACTTTTTTGTATTGTACTTAGATTTTATAATACATACTTTTATTCTTACTTATATACTCGCAGTGGAAAATCACAAAGCAATCCTTGACACATATATTGCTTATATCTATTATAGATCTAATGTACTAGCGTGTTATTGTAGCTTGTACAAATAATATATCGTTATCGACCGCCATTGCATTTGCATTTTGACACGCTTATTGTCAAGTTGACGTCTGACGTACAGGACGTAAACAAACAGCTTTCAATGTAGTGGATTTTCACTATTTAATAATGAAATATAAATGGAATTAAGCAATTAACAGTAATAACAACTGTGTAGCGTAGTAATGGTTCATGTACAGTGTTTTAAATATACCGTGGTTCCAGAATGACTAGCACTAAGAAAGATGCAGCGCGAAGAAGAAAGAGATTCGCAACACTAACCTGCAAACCCTTAGAAAGTCTTGATGAGATAAGGACGTTTTTAGATAATCCACCTCCTTGGCGAACTTTATGTAAAGATTTAATTCCGCATAGTAAGTCTATCATACGGAATATAGAGCACAGACAATTTTGTGAGCCTGAGCTCGAATCACCGGAGACTTTCTGTCATTTTGATCCGGATTCGAATGAACCAGTTCGTTATGACGTAACTGTAAAAAAGTTACCGAAGACTTTGGTATGCCATGATATGGCCAACGGATACCACGATGACAGGTGACAAAATTTTGATTTATACACACGATAAAGGATATATGTAAAAGATTTATTTTTTTATAGTTAACGGTAGTCTATGTTATCTATGTATCTATGGCTGTACTCGTTCATACTAGCTAGATTCAAATGAATATTTATAGATCAGTCAACAAAAAGTTTCTCAACTGCAATGCATAGATAAAACACTATAAAAGCATTGCATGGATGACTTGACATTGATACTGCCTGATATTAAAATGTATCTTTGATGTTATCAAAAATCGTAAGAAACCAGCATAAGTGATATTTACTGATAAAACGTTGTTTCCTGGAATATAATATTTGAACAACAAAAAAATATAGTAAAATGATACTACAATTCTATTGAATATTGAAATCAGTTTAGATAAAATTTTATAAAGATGGACTGTAAAGTAAAAGAACATTTATATTACTGACGTTACTGACAGTGCGCGCGTTGCATCGAAACACATGTTGGCACTGTTAGCATGTGATGTGAACGAATTGCGTAGCCCCTAGGTATATCTAAACACACAAGTAAAGTAAAAAATATTGTGTTGAGTATGTTCCTACTTTTCTTTGACTTGAATATTTTTAGCCCGTCATAGTAAATAATTTTGTTTCAAAGATTTTATTAGTTTGTTACACAAAACTTGGTAATGAGTTCGAATAGTTAAAAACTTCATATTTAACATGCCTGAGACAAAATAAAATATACTAAGTATAAATAAATACATACAAATAAATAAAGACATATAGGTATAGGTACAAATAAATGTGTTTTTGTTTGCATAGGTACACATGTAATAAACATATAATATGTAAAATCTGTAGGTATAAAAAGTTTAAATTTATTCACATTTTTGCTTTTTAACACGCTTTTAATACTTAAGTATGTTTCCAATGTCTATCTAGGTATGCTTCGATCAAATTTGATCGAAGTATCTATGTAACGGAATATTTTAACGTAATTTTCACTTATTCTAAGACGTCGGATAATTTGTCCAATAATCCTGATCAGGATCTTCAGGATTAATGGCTTTTTCCATATTTAAAAATACGGTACTGTATTGTGCTAAGCGTGATTGTTAAATACTAAGGCGTGTACCGAATCGATGAGTTACTTGCTACTTTTGTAATCTTAATGAGACTAAAAGTTGAATAAAAGTGTATGTTTGATAAGATAATTAATAAATAACTTGACTTTTACCAAAAAGTCCCAGACTTTTCCAGACGACCAGACCAGTCCTTGACTTTTACCAGTCCATGTGGTGACGGATTAAGAATACAGAGTGTTACCACCCCTATTCATCCCGTGGGTGTCGTAAAAGGCGACTAAGGGTGCAAACTACGCAGGACAACAGCACTGCAGAGAGAAGGAAAACTTGACACAAACCCTATACCGACCCGTCTGGCCAGCGTGGTGTAGTAGGCCAAAACCTCCTTTCTAAGGAGAGGCCTATGTCCAGCAGTGGACTAGTCAAGGCTGTTGATGATGATTACCAAAAAAGTTACATTATTGTTTTTTTATGTTTTTCTATTATACAAGTTTATGGCGTCTGGTGTAAATTTGGATATTTCTAGACAATTGATTTCTCATGCCAACAAGCTGCGTTATTGGCGTAGGGTATGGTGCAATATTGGCGTTGACAAAAATACCTATTAATGTTTGTAGGTACATATATATTATAATATCCTTGTAATATAAATGTTCCATGTTCATTTATTATCTTTTCAGCAAAATAGAAGGTACGCAAACACATGATGCGTACACATTCTACAATTGGGCTGGAATTGACATTTTCTGTTATTTTAGTCATCATTTTATTACAATTCCACCTGTGAGTTGGACCAGTGTGGGTCACGTACATGGCGTGAAGGTCATTGGTGAGTATAACGGGTATATTTATCTAAATAGGTATATGTTATTAGATTTCCCCGAGTTGTTTATTATTTTTGGAATAAAATTGGATGACAGTGGCGCGTCACTTTGAACAGTATTATTCGTATCTGGAGTGACTACGTAGGTGCACCCTTTTTATTACATTTTATCAGTTTTCAAGTATTCTAGTTTCTCTGTATTCAGCCATTATAGATACCGCCTGGCGGTAAAAAAATCTTAAATGTTCAACCAATCGAAATGAGAAGAAAAAAGAGCCGACGCGGGACGCCTGGCGGATGTGTAACATCGAAATTATTTTGTAGAAATAATGTGTATAAAAGGATAGGTTATGAAAAGAAATAATAAATATAGCACAATTAAAGATGTAATATTCAAATTATTTTGAAAAGAAACAGGGTGGCGACGCATGCCGTAACGACGCGTCGCCACGTCAGCAGCCGGTCTGACGATGTTTATTTATTTATTTTGATCTCTAACGGAGAATAATCCTTATATGATCTACCATAAATATAGATTTTTTCAAATCTTGTGCTTTGACAATTTGAGATCACATCATTCAGTCGTAATGTTAGCATTACATGTCTCACAACAAAAATATCTGTATATGCCAAATATATTCCGACTTGTAAAAATACACATAATTTACTTGCAGAAATAAATATCATTTCATTTAATCATTTGATTTCATTTCAAAAATATTTTCGTTATTTGTTAGTTGTGTTGTTTGTATTCTACATTGTATGTTTCCTAATTATGTTGTGCAATAAAGAGTAGCTATTTATCTGTCTACCTATTGTAAAAGCTTAATTATCTACATTCGAAGAAAAAATAAATATGTTGGTGACATAGGAACAATAATAACGGAATGGGCGGAAGGCACAAAATTATGGGACGCAATCCTGAGTTCAGAATCTGCGTATCGAGAGTTCGCCAGTGCAGTGGTAGCCATTGCCAAAACGATGAGATTCGACGGATGGCTTTTAAACATCGAAAACAAGGTTTTTTTCATTTTTTAACTTAAAGGACTCAAGGATAAATAACCAATGAACTGTCATAGCTATCAATATAGTTTTTATAATAATTGATGGTGACCACAAACATCAGTTCTTTGTTTTTGGTGGGATTTTTTTTTTGCCTGTATAATATTTGTCTATGCGCGGTACGGTGCTAATAAAAAATCTATCCTAATATATCCACTATAGAAGAGTAAAATTAAAAATCTATTGTTTTCAACTTAGGCATTTAAAAGAAATAGCATGTACTATTTACTGGTATGTACTATTTGGCCTAGTAGTATCGAGTATTAAAAGAAAAATCCTGGTCTCCTTAGTCTCTGAATCAGGTATTTTCAGTAATTTTGGTATTTATTTAGTATTTCTACGCAGAACAACAGCACTGCAGAGAAAAGGAAAACTTGACACAAACGCTATACCAACCCGTCTGGCCAGCGTGGTATAGTAGGCTAAAACCTCCTTTCTAAGAAGAGGCTTATGTCCAGCAGTGGACTGTTAAAGGCTGTTGATGATGATGGTATTTATTATCAGGTACCTAATAGATGCACTCTCAGTACTTTTATCCATCACAGACACGATAGTTTAGCCGGAGGTGAATTACGGGAATATTCGTAACATTTAGGCCAATATATCTCTTGTTGTGTTGCCAGATATCTAATCCAGAGAAGTTGCTAGAATTTATTCGTTACCTGCACAAGATATTGCACGAGGAGTTGGTGGATCCAGTGCTGATATGGTATGACAGCGTCACCATCACCGGTAACCTCAATTGGCAGAATGGACTCAATGCAAAGAATAGGTTAGTAAATGTAGTTTTGATTTAAAGGCAACCGCATTAGGAATGTATCCAGTGTCGCGGGGATTTTACAAACATACATAAAACGGACACAAAGAACATACAGACTCAGAACAGCAATTTGTGGATCACACAAAGTGTCGTCAAATGTGGGGATCGAACCATCAACACTCAGAGTAGTAGTAAACGGTTTGGCGACTGCTTAAACCATTACTCCACCCGTGCAGTCCATTTAATTCGGAAGAAACGAATTTTAAGTTTTTGCAGATATTCAATTTGTTTTTTTTTTTAAACTGTTAAATAAGTAACTAGCACTAAGACACCATTCCTTGTTCTGCTTAAACTTATTCCAAATACTATTTATAATAATAATAATAATCTTCTACCACATTCACACAACGCCATCTAGTCCCAAACTAAGCAGAGCTTGTACTATGGGTACGAGACAACTGATATAAATACATATATACTTTTTTTTTGTAAATACATACATATTATACATAGAAACACCCAGACCAAATCAAACATTAAATGTTCATGCACACAAATGTTTGACTTGAGCGGGAATCGAACCCGCGACCTTTGGAATAGCAGTCCGTTACACAAACCACTACGCCATTCGGTCGTCAAATAACAACAGTATCCGTTCTTTTTAGAGCCTTCTTCGACGCATGCGACGGTTTCTTCACGAATTACTCGTGGTCCGTGAAGAATGTTGAAGACACCGCGAAGGAGGCGGGGAACCGCATCACCGACGTGTTTATTGGTATCGACGTGTGGGGACGTAACTTCTATGGCGGGGGACAGTTCAATACGCAGGAGGTGTGGAATGTTTCTTATATTTTACGATAAGTTCATATTTTAATCTGAAAATTTCACCTCGGTCACTAGGTTAATTTTTAAATGGAGTGAGTTACGTAATTTTAAATGTGTACTGCCGCCGATTAACACTACAACTCAAGAAACAGCAGCAATGCGGATCTGTCAAGACAAGCAAGTGCTTTTTTTGTCTGTGAGTGTAACAAACACTCATAGACAAACAAGATATTTTTATTAGCGAGGGGGCTGTTGACACAAGTGACCGCTCGTGTAGCGACTTTGGGATTTTTACTATAGTTCATCTGATCTAAGAAGTACCGTTTGACGTTTCATATTTTTGAAGGCAAAACAACTTTCTATGGGCGTAACTGATACAATTTCAAAAACCTTTACCGTCATCATCAATCATCATCATCAGCCTGTCGCAGTCCACTGCTGGACATAGGCCTCTCCTATCTTACCTTTTTCGTAAAATTATCAATGCTATTTTTCTTTTTCACAAGTTATACAATTCTTAATGACTAAATTTAAATTTAAAACTTTTAAACAAAGCAAAAATAACAAATAAGTATATATTATCGATGGATTTTTTTTGAATTCGTTTCAAAGTCACGTTGTTAGCTCCTTTACCGTAGTGTTGCAACTCTTCAAATTCATTTGCATACGAATAATCGAAAATCTAATTAAAATGTACAAATAATAATCAAACTTATTAATAACCAGCAGTTTTCAAGCCCGACGTTCTTTTTAATATTTAAATTGTAGCTGATATCTAACTGTAAACGGAAACGCATAATTAAAATTAAAAGTATGTAAGTTGATGTAGTTTTAAAACATTTCATCATCAAACATAGAGTCGGACCCTGAATTATATCGCTAATCTCACAACACATCACATCAACAGCCTTTAATAGTCCACTGCTGGACATAGGCCTCTCCTTAGAAAGAAGGTTTTGGCCTACTATACCACGCTGGCCAGGCGGGTTGGTATAGGGTTTGTGTCAAGTTTTCCTTCTTTTTGCAGTGCTGGTGTCCTGCGTTGTTTTGCACCCTTAGTCGGCTCTTACGACACCCACGGGATGAATTGGGGTGATGACAATCTGTATTCTTAATCCGTCACCACCACCCATTACCTAAAATAAATAATCCTTCTCTTCTTGAGCACGTTCTTGAGGTTTCCGTACACAAACAGTTCTCATACTTCATGTTTCAATGGCGTTTTCTAAGTCCTCTAAAATCTTACTATTACTACTAAACCACTAAAAAAAAAAAACACTACCATCTAAAAGCAAAATTTTGTCACTAAAAGGGGGATTGGCAACATTGCCCGCTACGGCTCTACAAACACACGCGCCTTCATCACACATTTGACAGAATAGGCTAGTTGACTCAATTTGAAAACTTGGTTAATTATATACTTTAATATTTATTTTATCCCAAAAAATCCTATATATTAAAAAAGCAATAATTACATTACGTATTTAAAAAAAGAATTTAAATTTCCCTTGAAAACGCTGTAGTAGTATATAGTGTCATGGCGTCTTGAACGACGCCACAGTCTGCGAAACTAAACTGTTTACATCTGTGTCCAGTGTCAACTGTTTTCTAAAAATGAAAAAGGAATAAGGAGTAACGTGCTCTGTTGTATTAAAACGTCAACATCAACAATGATGTTTTGCGTGGCGTGACGTAACACTTTCTGATTGGTGTTCGCTGTCACGTGACTGAATGCCTATTTTGTACGAATTTATTTAGAAAAATATTAATACGATTATTAATATTTTTCTAAATAAATAAACTGTTATGAGAAATAGGCTGGGTGTTTCCTATCTATGTCTCTTCATTTAAAATTTGAAACTATAAACCAAGCAATTTGTTATTAGTGGACACAAGCCTATTGTCGACATCGGCACAGTTTGCCATATACAAAAAAAAGAATTGTGGCACTCGGGGACTGCCGCGGTAAAGCTATTGCATAGCATTTTTTATCAACTTATGCAATTATAATTATTTATTTTATTTTATTTATGCAGTATTTTTTTTCCTTTGTTTTTTTTTCTTTGATATTAATTCAAGTTACACTTTTTGAGCGTGGTGACCGATGAGAAATCATTTTTTTTTCTTTTATTAAATAAATGAGAAGTTAATATTGTTCAAAATATTTTTATTATCTTACAATACATGTAGGTAACTGAAATAAGAAACATAAGTTTGAGACTTGATATCTTCTAAATATCTGGCAAATACTGCGTCACAACCAATGCCACCTAGAGACGAGTTGCTGAACTAAAGACAGAAGCGTGATATTTAAAAAAAGTCATTAAAAGTTCTGCTATTCATCGATAGATGGCAAAACTAAAAAGTATCACCGCTGTGCCGGTCGGAGTGGCGGGTGTTAGGTTATTTTCGTTACGGAATTTCTGGATTCGGTCTCCACGCTCAAGGCCCGCGATAGAAGCTATGCAATAGCTTAAAAAGGTTTACTTGTAAACCCTGAGATATAATAAAAAAGGGCTTGACAGTAACAAACATATATCAGTAAAACTGTAAACAAGTAGTAAGACTAGAAATTATATCGATATCTCTTAAGAATCGGATTCAATTTCTTTGAACTCCCTGTTCTTCAATATGTCAGAACTGTCAAACGGTAGATAGACTATAAAGGGTATGACTATGTTGAGCTGATTGACCAGACCAAAACTCTAATCTCTTTACACTTAGACATACCTATAGTTGGACTGCACGGATGGCGTAGTGGTTTAAGCGGTCGCCACGCCGCTTCCTACTGCGCCCAGTGTTGTGGGTTCAAACCCCACATGGGATAACACTTTGTGTGATCCACAAATTGTTGTTCTGAGTCTGGGTGTCCTTTGTGTCCGTTTCATGTATGTTTGTAAAGTCCCCGCGACACAGGATTTATTCCTAATGCGGGCGTTGTCTTTTTAAAGAAAGAAAGAAAGAAAGAAAGTTACAAGAGGCAAAACTTTTGGTCACAGGCAGTGAAAATAGCTCACGGAGCGGGCTGTTCTCTGGCGATCTTCGCTCCGGCGTGGACGCATGAGGCAATCTTTGAAGGAGGAAGCAATATCGTCATGCCTGAGCCCCTTAATCTCTACGAACAGTTCATGTTGAGAGATCGCGCGCTGTGGGGCAGTCTGTGGCCCTACCTCAACACTCGCCTGCCATGTCGATTGCCCTTCCAGACCTCTTTCTGTAGAGGGCAGGGGACAAAGCGATGGATGTACGGCGAGGTAATTCTCTCTTTGTCTTTGCACTGAGCAATCAACATTTCAACGTTATGAGTGTCTAAGGGTACCGAGTTTCTATCAGCGGCATGTTTCTGTCTCTCTGATTCTGAATGGTAGGTAGATAAAACCGTGGGTTTGCCAAAAGCCTCTGACAGCGGCTGGTTCTTCTGGTATTTATTAAAAGACCATGATTGATTTTAACTCAAAGCAAAAACTTGGCTTAGTTTATTTGTTTTGAATAGTTTTCGACTGCCTCGGTTACGGCACTGCACCAGTGGTAGTATATGCGACTGCTGTGCTGAGGTCTCGGGTTCGATTCCTGGGTCAGACCTCATGTTTGTATGATCTGCAAATATTTGTTTCGAAGTTTTCTATTTATAATATGTATATATTTACAAAAAGTACGTATAAGTATTCTAGCAGTCAATTTACCGTTCATAGTACAAGCTCTGCTTAGTTCTAAACTAGATGGATGAATTTATGTGTGTCAAATGTCCGAAAATATTATTATTAAATTGAATTTTAATTAATTCAAAGAATCGTAGGTGCTACTTTTATATACCTTGCAGATATTTATTTTATAAAGATAAAAGTAGTGGTACACGATCTCAAAATACTAAAATGTGTGTAAATGTGTGTCTCAAAATACTAATATGTATAATGGAATAGCGATTTTATTGGTCGCAGGTTCTTTCTCCAGGACCATGGTATAACCTGCGTCATCAGCAGTATCAACCGAACTCGGCGCACGGGCCACACGGTTACGTCTTATCTTCAGTAGACAGACTCATGGAAGTGTCATGGGATAGGAAAGATAAAAAAGGGATTATCAAATACCGTAAAAATTTAGATTCTCTTAGATCTACAGTGACCGAAAGTATACCGCGGACAAATTCATCAGAAGCTGAAAAAGATGAGAGCGATTCTAGTATTGATGATACACAGTCTTTAAATATTAAAGAGTCCATTATAAAATTTCAAGACATGCCAGAAAAAGTTCCTGAAGTAACGCCGGCTATGGAGGTAGCAGGTCCTGTAAATACGACTGCTGTTGAAACACCGAACACGAAATTCCTATCTTCTGATTCGCAAACCCAACCATCAGGTTTTAAAAAATTTATAAACCGACTTAAAGCGATCTTCAAAAAAAATAAATCTAATAGCGAAAACCACTCAAACGAGGCTACTACGTCAGCTAGTCAAGAAGTAACTCCTAGTGCACCGTCTGCAGAACTAAAGGCAAAAGATAAAGAATCAGATGATTTCCCTGCCGTCACTCGCGAGTCTATGATTGCGGCGTCTATCAACTTGAACCTCAACACAGAAACGGGGAAAACCCGTTGGGCGTTGGCAGAAGTACCTATGGAGCGGCCATGTCTCATGCTATGGCTCACCGATGCCTTCAATGGCGGCTCCTGTCTTAAGGTGAATCCTTCTGACAAGATCAGTCCCGAACACCGGACAATTAGGTTGTTTCACTGTGACTTTAAATGTCATGACACGTTTATTATCTGCATCGTTACTAAAACAATAATGCAGTATGCCGATCAGACTCTTAATATAAAGTTAGCCATGAAGAACGTAAAGGGTGATGACTTAAACGTGATACTGATGGGGAAATCCCTGGGAATGTCGGCCTCATTAACGAAGGAATCTGTCGGCATTGTCTATTCTTATCCATTGAATTCGGAAACTCAGACAAAATTTCACGAAATCCGACAATATTTGCTGCTGAATGAGCCTGGTTTCTACGTGCCTCTTGAGAACCAATACGGTTGGCAAGTCAGGTTTGTCTGCATTTCTACTTTTTTTTTTTTCAGTTTTGTTTCAATCTTTGGTTATCCGATCAAACAAATAAAAATAAATAAAGAGTGCAGTGTAAATAAGTAAGTAATAGTGAGTGTAATTGCAGTGCTGTTGTTTTGCATAGTTTGCTCCGTTAGTTGGCTCTTATGACACCATTTTTTTTTTTTTTCCGTGCGGAAGTCCCCTCGGATACCACCTATCGGTGGCATGTCGGACTCGAACCGACTAAAACCGCACGCCGTCTCGGGTATTAATAGCCGGGGAACCAGGTATACCCTAGAAAGGAAGTCCCTGGTGCCCCGACATACCTCGGGTCATCTACAGACGCGCTCGCCGCCACCCCGGCCTGCTTCTGCTAGGGTGACAGATGGCCTCATCTGTCACCCCCAGGCCTGCGCTTATGGAGGACGAAGGTCGTTCTGCGATCTCCGGCGCCTGAGTCGCCTGCGGTACCTAGCCCGTTCCCGGGCCTGGCGGGCCGGGAGAGTTCTAAACCTCTCCCGGTCCCGCTCGGCTCTTATGACACCTACGGGATTAATAGGGGTGGTGATATTCCGTATTCTTAATCCGTCACCACACGGACGTTTAAGTCTTTAGTAGTTTAAATTGCTTCGTTGTCATGGCTGATTGAAAACATAACACCTTTAATATACTCGTATCAGTCAGAAGACAACAAATGAACATAGAAGTCTTCTAAAACACACAAGATATTTTGATTTCGGTGTGACTTTTTGTTAATCCAGTACATTTTGTGCTAATTCCATCAACAGTTGTTGATTTACCAGCTTTTGGTCAGAGCTCCCTTGCTGCAACTGCAGCGATATTTTAAGCCTACTTAAAAAAGGGTAGGTCCTCAATTCAGCAGTGTTTTTGACATTTTTCATCACAAAAGGCCGCCATTTATAAACTGCTTTCAAAAATTATTTTTATTGGTAAAGGTATCCTTTACGTTTATTACCATTTGTTTACCATTTGAAGAAAAAAACCACCTCTAAGAGTAAAAGTTAAGGATTAATAATACAGCTTATTACAAACAAAAAACACTATCATAGACACTGATATTCACTCTGGCTCTAAAGAATACGTAACGTTGTATACAAATATCCTTTTATATTATTGTATTGGGCTTTTTTTGATAATCATCAACAGTTTTTAATAGTCCACTGCTGGACATAGGCCTCTCCCTAGAAAGGAGGTTTTGGCCTACTATACCACACTGGCCAAATTTGTTGGTATAGGGTTTGTGTCAAGTTTTCCTTCTTTTTGAGGTGCCGGTGTCCTGCGTTGTTTTGCGACCTTAGTCGGCTCTTACGACACCATCGGGATGAACTGGGGTAGTGACATTCCATATTCTAATCCGTCACTACACGGATAATTTTGATAATAAATTGATTCATCATGACATCAGAGCATTGAAGTCTTTTTGAGGGTAATTTTCATAACATGACATATTGTATGATTGACATTATTTCGGAAATAAATTATTATCCAGGCATATGGTATGGTTTCCGTGTGGTGACGGATTAAGAATACAGAGTGTCACCACCCCTATTCATCCCGTGGGTGTCGTAAGAGCCGACTAAGGGAGCGAAATACGCAGGACACCAGCACTGCAGAGAGAAGGAAAACTTGACACAAACTCTATACCAACCCGTCTGGCCAGCGTGGTATAGTAGGCCAAAACCTCCTTTCTAAGGAGAGGCCTATGTCCAGCAGTAGACTGTTAAAGGCTGTTGATGATAATGATGATATGGAATGCAAACTGGTCTTATATGGATCATCATGTATCGAGGGTTTTTGACGCCAGGTACCATGAGGTGCATGTGCCAGAGTCGCGACTGTTGGAGGTGAATTGCCGGACGACGTTGCCCGAGGGCGGGATACTTCTCGGACACTTTGGAATTTGCGAGAAACATGAGAATACGGTAAGCATTGAACTTCGCACTTCTTGTTAAATAAGATACTGGTAGACTGTAGTGTTTCGTGGGTGGGCAACCGGTAACCTCAGTCCCTCGGTGAAAAGCAAATAAAGTTTCGTTTGACACCGGTTTCTTGTGAGGTTTCTTACGTTATGTCTATCTACATATATATATATATATAGATATGTATGTATATATATATATATATAAACAAGTACGTTTAAAATGAAATCAATCTTAGAGGTAATCACGTTACAATATTTTTTTTACATTTCAAAGTAATTAGTATATTAGTAATATTATAGCTTTAATTTAAATTTTCAAGGCGGGTTTCATCAACTGCCTTTAATAGTCCACTGCTAGACATAGGCCTCTCCTTAGAAAGGAGGTTTTGGCCTACTATACCACTCTGGCCAGACGGGTTGGTATAGGGTTTGTTTCAAGTTTTCCTTCTCTTTGCAGTGCTGTTTTCCTGCATAGTTTGCTCCCTTAGTCGGCTCTTACTACACCCACGGGATTAATAGGGGTGGTGACATCCGGATGAGTCGGGTTTAAGTCTTTAAAAATATATTATGTAGACCGTCAAGATGGAATGTCAACACTAGGAACAGTATTAAATATTTATATTTGAAAAACATAGTTCTAACAATCGTCATTACGGTGTTGTTGGAGACACTCCCTTAAGTAATTCTTATCAATTTTAGATCTATAGTGATGGGATAACAGATACCAATAACACTCGATATTATATGTAGATATTGATGGTATTGAAGAACCCCGTCCCTTTTTTACACGCTTTATATTAGCTTCACTTGTATGTTTGTTTGTATGTTTGTAACCGACTCCTTTGGGCGTGATTTTGACTGATTTTAAACGGTCAGAATTCGTTCAAACTTTGTAGATATATCGAGGACCGATGACAATACACTAATTTAACAATACGCTTTTTACTATTGACAACAGGCACCCAACGCTTTTTTTCAAATTTATTTTCTATTTTTTAGTTTGGTTTTCTATAGAAAGCGTGTTTTTTAGTTTTTAAAACTATATTTTTTTAGGTTGAATAGGAACATCTAAAGAAAGCCGTGTGGTGTCGTGGGACACCCGATAGGAACGAAGTTGTGACGATCGAGTAAAACTGATTCGACACGATTTTAATTACAACGCCATCTATGAAAGCGGCTATTACCTACATATTTTTCAGTTGGTTTCTAATTAAAACAATTTATACATTGGTATGATGATCCTTGAGAAATGGTGTCGAATACAATATTTTTTGCTCAACCTAAAAACATAAATTTTAATTTTACTGAGATGATAAGTAATGATTTCCTATCTATTCGATAGATGGCGCTGAATGACTGACAAGTGACATAAAAAGTGTCGTTACAACTTTTTGTGAGAATTTTTTCCGTCTAGCCCCCTTTCACAACGCGCGATAAGGAACTTCGTTCCAATTAACATATTTGTAAATTAAATTATAATAATTTATATAAATTTCTGTATATTTTTACACATAACACAAAAACATAGTATATATGTATAATAGGTACATAAGATATTTGCTGTAAAATTGCGTCGCAGTGTTCATTAAAAGGAGATGTTGCTCAGCATAATGCTGCACCATTACGATGATGTTTAAATTTTAAATTTATGTTTCGAAATAATATTGGTAAACAACACGAAGATTTAAAAATAAAAAAAGTATTTACAGAGTATCGCAGACAATTAATAACTGTTGTATACGAAAAATAAATGTATTGTAAAGAGTTGTTTTCTTTTACAGGACACCACGTAAGCTACACGAACGTAACGTGTTCACTTCGTACTCGTTGAAGCCATGGTGTACTCAATTAGATATTTTTGATAATAAACTAAATGTATTGATATTGTTATTTTCACTTGCAGTCACAGGTGAACTTGTCTGTGGTCATACTATGGCGTCATTTTAGTACGTATAAAAGAATATTTAACTATCATATATAAAATATTAATTGCATGTAAATTAATACTTGTAAACTATATAGCCCGTATGTTTTTTGTTCGTTCATTCGCGTTGACAGTACTCTCTAAATTTCTTGGCAATGTTTGATCGTCTGTTATCTTTTACCAAAACTATTGGAAGTTCGACTAACATTGGATCAAAATATTTATTATTTAAAAATCAGAAACTAAAATACCAGTATAAGGTTAGTTGCTCAACAAAGTTTCTGTCACAGCCTGTTAATGGTTGAATCAGTAAATGCAAGCTGCCTTTAGCTGTAATGTTTGTCTTGTTCTGACAGTGTGTCGTACCTACTAATGAGGTTTTATTAAGTTGTGAAATGTCGATTGTGTGAATATATATATTGTGTACTTATAACTTTTACTAAATTGCATACAGCAACTTGTATTAGGAGCAGTGTACGTCGACACACTAAGGGTAGCTATAGTAACTATCTGATCGGCCTAACGTGGGTTGCTAAATTATTATTAATTATAGTATGTTGTGTATTATTACTGTAATGTTTGTTCTGGAAAATGTTAGGTGATCAAAATTTAAATAATTATGTTAGTATATTCAAACAACAATAAAATTACTAGAAACTAGAAAGAAAACAGTGTCAAATGTGCATTAGTTATTTTAATTTAATATTTTTAATTTAATTTGATATTTTTATACAGAAATATGTTATTTTTCCAATATAAAAGTAGCTCAAGTTGTCCAGGAAAACATCTATTCGGTCAGTTAGTATGTAAAATTAATTAATTAATTTAACATAAGGATTTAAAAGGACACCTACACCAAAAATATCAAGGTATATGAAGAATAGACAATGAGAATAGAAATCAAAATGGGAATTTCCAAAAGAATCGTTCCATTTTAAAAACGTTATTATTTAATATATTGTTTTTGAATTGATTTGCTGGACGTATCGCCTTAATTTTTAATTATAACATCTATTAAGGGAAATGTATATGAATTAGTACTACACCACAGAGTATCCGTACCAATAAAACCATACAACTTTCTAAAGATTCTCGGATCTCAGTTAGACGTAAGATTGCGCGCCCTGCATGGTATTTATCTTTTTTCTATTAATTTACTTTAATTAATTTTCATTGGTAGTGTAAGTAAATTTTTGAAGATTTTGCATGACTTTAAAAACTTACTAGCCAATAACAGTTTCATATTTAGTGCCCAATACCATAGTTTTGGCCTTTTTTTTTTAAATTTGTGTATTCAAAATTAAAATTAAAAAAAGAAAAAACAAAAATTGGTTTCTGGTTGTGTTTATTCAAAAGTATGGGACTTATTTCAGTGTTTCATGATAGCTAAATCGTACGTATATGGAGGAAATGTAATAGGTAAAAATATGTTGTCTAAATGCGTACGTAATAGTAGAATAAGTAATACAAATGGAGAGAGTATGAAAAATATTAAACAATATGGTGGCTGACGCCCAAAATGACATTCCGTTTTGTGCATTTTTTTATTGGTAGGTACTTCATATTCCGTTTTGTTACTAATATGTTATGTCATCTGTATTTAAAAACACGCACAATTAATTTACTCATAACACTATGAAATTTGTAAATCGTGCATTAAAATTAATTGTACGGTGTATTTAAGACGTTTTAAATGTGTATTACGCATACAATGGTTGCTCAATTGTTTTTTCGAACATATATGTTGGATATGGCGCGCAATTGTCTATGGATGTCAATGTCACATTGCATGTATAAATATGAATAAAATCTATTTCATTGACTTTTTGTTTGCCTTATCTATGCTGAACCCCTGCTTGAAAGCGATTACCACGAGATTCTTCGACCGACAGTAAGAGATAAATGATTAAAATAAAGAGACTAATACCAGGCTAACGAGAGCTAGCGATCCGCAAATGATAAAAATTAAAAGAGTAACTATAGACAGTTGCTTGGTTAGTATTTTTTAAGCCTACCCTCACTGGTCGATTTTTATATGTTCGCATATTTTTTTAATGATGCTATCGAGCAGACGGGTCATCCTCTAAACCAGTGTTAAGCTATTTTTTCGTTGTTTTTCACCAAGTGAAGTTACCGGCCGGGAAGAGGGCTTTTAAAGAGTTGTTTCTCTTGGTCGGAATTGTCATTGCTGGGTTGTCATCAGGTGACCTATCTGTTCTTTTGTCTTTTTTTTACAAAATTACATGAACCGGACAAAAAGGACACCCAGACTCAGAACAACAATTTGGGTACCCACAAAGTGTTGTTCCATGCGGGGATCGGACCCACAACACTCAGCGCAGTAGGAAGCGGCGAGGTGACCGATTAAACCACCACGATATCCGTGTTCGTTCGTCTCCTTTTTATACTATGAAAAAAGGTATCTATACCCTGACTATATATTACTTATAATGTTAAGCCAGCCGTTTCATATGGTAACTCATATTTTACAGATAAGATTATCTAATGTGATGTCTCTGATAATTTTACTCAATCCATACTGGGTATATTACGAGAAATATTGATTTTGTATTTTTTAGGAGATTTATAATGTATTTGTAATGTTAAGGAACCAGATTTTTATAATATTGGATAAGTTTAATGTTGCAATGATCAGTTTAAACTAAATAATAGTCAATATGCTGTCTAAGAGTATTTAAACAATCTGAAACTATATTGCATTCATTAAAAAGTATGTAATAAAAGAAAAAGCATGAAACGTGAAATTATCTACTAGTCGGCCTTTAGAAGATTCAGTAATTGATATCCGGGCGAGACAGGCAGGTGTATCAAAATAAAATTACTATTAGAAATGTTAGATTTATATACATACAAATAGAAATACTTAGATGACTGTACACAGCCGAAAGACGTCTACTGCTGGACATAGGCCTGCCCCAAGTTTGTCGACAACAACCGATCCTAGTGTCCGCCTCTAACGGTTTCCCGCGACCTTCACCAGGTCGTCAAACCGCAAATGCTTCTTGTGAAGTTCACGCACCTTAGCCTTAATCAAGTCCCGGTTAGTGGACATACCAATTTCTGGAGAAGGCCCATACCACAGTTTTTTTTAAACGACAACTTGCACTAGACATACCTATACCTATATGCTGTGTCGGGGGGACTTCACAAACATTCATGTAATGGACACAAAGAACACCCAGACTCAGAACAACAATTTGTGGATCACACAAAGTGTTGTCCCATATAGGGGATCGAGCTCACAACCCTCAGCGCAGTAGGAAACGACGAGGAGACCGCTTAAACCACTACTCCATTCGTGTAGTCAAGAGAATAGTAAATAAAAAATGAAGTAAAATTGTTGAAGTTACTCGTTTAGTACTTTTCCGGTGAGGTCACAAAGATTGTGAATGTAAGGAAACACCGCTGACAATACTCTGAGTTATCACGAGATACCAGTTTTCAGATAATAACGCTTATCAGGCCGTACTTCTGTATAAGAGTAGTAGTAGAACTATCAGTATTTTAGTAGGTACCTACTCGTGGAAGAAGAGGATTCGGCTTTTTAGTGAAAGTTCATAACTGCTGTCAGCTTAATAAAGAGGTACTTTTATTTTATTCATTATATTTAATCTTAAAAATGTTGACCATAGTGTTAAATTTCATCACACATCACATCAACAGCCTATAACAGTCCACTGCTGGACAAAGGCCTCTCCTTAGAAAGGAGGTTTTGGCCCACTATACCACGCTGACCAGACGGGTTGGTATACGGTTTGTATCAAGTTTTCCTTCTTTTTGCAGTGCTGGAGTCCTGCGTTGTTTTGCTCCCTTAGTCGGCTCTTACGACACCCACGGAGTGAATTGGGGTAGTGACATTCCGTGTTCTTTATCCGTCACTACACGGACAGGGGTGTTAAGTTTAAGTTTTAAATATTAGGAATTACGAAGGTTTTAAGCGGCACCATATAATGCAAAGTACTAGTTGATAGTTTTTTGCGTAACTGTTTATTCTTTCTTTATTTTGATTTACATTTTTGACGGGCCTTGCTGGTCTAGTGGTTAGTGACCCTGACTGCTAAGACAGAGGTCATGGGTTCGATTCTCAATCAGGATTAATAATTGTGTGAAGAACACGATCATGTGTTCTGTGTCTGGGTGTAATTTATCTATAATATGTATGTATATATATGTATATAAATATATAAGTATGTTTATCAGCAGTCTGGTTACCATAGCACAGGCTCTGCCTAGTTTGGGATCAGACGGCCGTGTGTTACATGTGTGAGTGAGTGTAGGTAACTAGAAACTTAAACAACATACTGGAAAAAAGTATCTTCGGCACTCGAACTTTGCTTCTGGAACATATTTTGCAACACAGAGATTAAAAGACAAGAAACCAACCTCTGCTCTCTTACAATCTACGTTTTGGACCAGGCAGCTAGTTCAGGGAGGAGTGGGTTTTACGTGGGAAGGCCAAGCTTCTGCACAAATAGACCGGATCAATCGGACTGATGCCACGGCCCTACAGAAAACCGTACTTTTTAAGCAATTCCTTCGTTGCTTTTAATCTAGTAAGTGAGGTTTCCTGAGCCTTCTTCTTCCTGTTTCTGGGGAGGACTTAAATGGCAGCAATGCTTTTGTGATTCTTGAGTAGCAGGATTAAACCCACGGGTGGCGTTGGTTCCTTGCCATCAGGTAACAATTCTGCTCGTTTGCCATCCTATGCCATAAAAAAAACAGTTACACTCCGGGAGTGCCGACAGAAGTGAAAACTTATATACAGAGGTGTCAGTAACGGTAACAATGTTGCGAGTTCAATTGTTTTTCCGAGCTCAAAAAAGGCCCAACGCACCTAAAGAAGATTTCACTTTAACGACCGTATGGCGTAGTGGTTTGTGTAACGGACTGCTATTCTAAAGGTCGCGGGTTCGATTCCCGCTCAAGTCAAACATTTGTGTGCATGAACATTTAATGTTTGATTTGGTCTGGGTGTTTCTATGTATAATATGTATGTATTTACAAAAAGAAAGTATATATGTATTTATATCAGTTGTCTAGTAGCCATAGTACAAGCTCTGCTTAGTTTGGGACTAGATGGCGTTGTGTGAATGTGGTAGAATATTATTATTACTTTAAAAATAGTAGTGTCCTTACATTTGATATATTTTGACTGATTGCTACAGTGAAACCGAACACATGGGAATCGGTTAAATCGGCTCGGTTCAGGAAGGCGTATGTTTAAGTGAGAAATCCTTTATTTTGATGGCATATTAATTTTGTGCAAAGATGTATCTTAATATAACGTTATTAAAACGTAATTGAAGTAAATTATTTGGGTTTTTAAGACGTTATGAAAATGGGACAGTACATTCGATACCTACCATTAATCTTACAGTAAGTTTAAACTTTAAAGTAATGTCTTACCCAAACACGCATATAGCTGTAGCTGTATAAATTTATTCAATATTTAAATCAACAATATTCATTTTTAAATCGCGGTCCGAGGCAGTCGGACATAGAATTGATTTGGAACTATGTTCATCCCCACTACTCAAATTATCTTCATTCCAAATTTCATCAAATCACTTCAGCGGTTATTGATTCCCCGTATAAACTTTCAACCCCCTTTTCACCGCTTAAAGAATGATTTCTGGAATAACAACTATCCTATGTCCTTTCCCGGGACTCATTCTATCTCTATACCAAAATTCATCTAAATCTGTTCGTTTATGTGTGAAGAGGTAACAGACAGACATGTAGGTTTCTACATTGCGTATACATCGTAGAAGAATTTTTTTTTTTTTTTTTAAAGACCTCTCGCATTAGGAATATATATCCTGTGTCGCGGGGACTTTACAAACATACATGAAACGGACACAAAGAACACCCAGACTCAGATCAACAATTTGTGGATCACACAAAGTGACGTCCCATGTGGGGTTTGAACCCACAACACTCGGCGTAGTAGGAAGCGGAGCGGCGACCGCTTAAACCAATCCGCCATTCGTGCAGTCAAATGTGAGGTAGTTTTACTGTACCTATTAACAATATATATATTTTTTAATATTTAAATGTTATACTACATAAGCACACACATAACGAAACAAAAAAAAACAATTTATTTAGTGATGAATAGAAACCGGATTATATGCATTTACATATTTGCATATGCTTTTGCATATTTAAGAGATTCTCAACGGTAATAGCATATTTTACCTAAGATCTAGTTATGATGCATATTATCGGTACATTTACAATATTTTTCCTATATGGTGCAGTGCATTTACCCTGTGCGATAAAAGCGATAGTATCGCGAATTCGATCCGGAACGCGGAGTCAGTAGCCGCGCGCGTCTTTTGTTTTGACAGTTACGATAAAAAAAATGTCATGTAATGTTACTGCCCTTTTTATCGCCAATCAAAAAATAATTTACTCATTGTATGCTGATTTTGAAAAAAATAAATGAAAACTAATTTTCCATTTTTTTGGGGTTCCTAAAATTTATTATTTATTTCGCATATTCTGCCAATTTTCGGCCGTCTGAATTGAATTGTCGGCCACAGGCCAGGTGGAGTGACGATTTGCGCAAGATGGCTGGCAGGAGCTGGATGCGAGAAGCCCAAAATCGATCTAAGTGGCGTGCAATGGGAGAGGCCTATGTCCAGCAGTGGACTGCGATAGGCTGATGATGATGATGATGACTGCATTTTTCATGCATATAACAAGCTGTTTATGTTTCATATAATCCGGTCTCTTTCATATAATCCGGTCTCTAGTGATGAAGAACTCAACCACATGATAGAACGTTAAATCGATTAAAAATAGTCGATTCTAAAAGTAAAATATTCATTTATAACTTTTATTGATTCGCGGGTAGTACATTTGCCTTAGACATCATAGATATAGAAATGTCACATGCTTGTCGTTGATAATGCTAACTGAATAATAACGAAATAAATATAGTAATCAAGTCATAAAATGTAAAATACTCGTGCGTTACTAAAGTTTGCTTATTTGAGTAGAAAAAGGATCTACTTAAAGGTATGTATTGAAAAAAATATTAGGTACCTTTAATTTATACAAAAAAGGCCTTTAAAGGGCCTTGTTACAAACACTAGAACAGTGATTCCTAAACTATTTTGGGCAAGAGACTCCTTTTCCAAAATGAAATGAAAACTAAGACCCCATAACCAAATCACTGCATGCTTATCGCCTGTTGATTTTTTATAAGCACAACAATGATACTTCTTACTAAAATATTAGTTATTTTTATTACAAGTTGGTACAAGTAACACAACTAATACAGTATTTTTAAAAGTTTTAAATAAGAACTTGTGTTAATTAATAGGGGTTGGTTTTTAGACCTCGTCGACCCCCAAAATCAGTTTTCGTTTATGTCGACCTCTAGGAAACCAATTTCGACCCCAAGGGGTATCGACCACTTTAGGCATCCCTGCACTAGAACAACAGATGAAATGACCCTGATGACCGAAATCTATACTAATATTATAAAGCTGAAGAGTTTGTTTGTTTGTTTGTTTGAACGCGCTAATCTCAGGAACTACTGGTCCGATTTGAAAAATTCTTTCAGTGTATGATAGCCCATTTATCGTGGAAGGCTATAGGCTATATATCATCACGCTAAGACCAATAGGAGCGGAGCACCAATGAAGAATGTTTCCAAAAACGGAGAAAATTTATCACTATTGAGAGACGCAGACGAAGTTGCGCGGGTCAGCTAGTATAATATAACCGTTCAAAATATTCATTTAAATAGATTTGTCATTGATGTTGATTGATTTTTAACGCAGTAATATTTTTTAGATTTATTTATTATTTGTAAAATTAATAAACTGCTTAGAATTTTGTTATAGAAATTCACACGATTTCAATAGGTAGGGGAAAAGGGGGTAATTTTTTTTCTTTTTTTTATGGGATAAGGGGGCAAACGAGCAGATGGGTCACCTGATGGTAAGCAACTACCGCCGCCCATGGACACCTGCAACTCAAAAGTCACAAGTGCATTGCTGCCCTTGGAGTCCTAAATAAAAGAAAATGGTCGTATTAAAAATAATTTTGGTGGCATTTATCTGATGGTGACCCGTCTGCTCGTTTGCCCCTTATATCTTAAAAAAAGCAAGTCTGGCGCTCCGCAGTGGTTTTATAAATTAGTCACACGTGTGATTATATGAGTTACTAGCTGGTGGAATTTGAAAAGCGTTGCCTTAGTGGGTTCGATGCCCGGAGCGGGCAAAATTTTAAAGGGTTTTCCTGAGAGGAAAAATAGCCTAAGTTTTTCCTTATGTAGACAGCTACCTGGTAATAAAATATTATTGAAATCGGTCTAGCCGTTTAGAAGATTACCCGGAACAAACAGACAGAAAAATTTAAATTGGTTTTAGGCATAGTTATCGTGCAAATAACCGTGTAAGCATGAAAAAAACCTATAATTTGACATTTTTTTTTTTTTTTTTTTAAAAAGACAACGCCCGCATTAGGAATATATATTCCTGTGTCGCGGGGGACTTTACAAACATACATGAAACGGACACAAAGAACACCCAGACTCAGAACAACAATTTGTGGATCACACAAAGTGTTGTCCCATGTGGGGTTTGAACCCACAACACTCGGCGTAGTAGGAAGCGGCGTGGCGACCACTTAAACCACTACGCCATCCAACAGACACTTCAATTTTATTTATTTGTGTAGATAAATCAAATGTGATTTTATTTCATCTATAGTGTGTTCGTATCTGTGTTCTTAGGTGATCGACCGCAATATCTGATAAAATTGCTAAGTACGTGGAGTACGGTATATAATATGCCAATCAATCTGTTTGACACAATAACCTCAGCTTTTTGAGGTTTGAAAGGAAAAATGAATCTTCAGTAGCCACTTATATCTATTTCACGGCACAAAATATAGTATAAATTTGATATTCGCCGTTTTAATATTAACGAAAAATATGTTTTTAATGAAAATTTAAAGTTATCAAGCACCAGCCCAATTATGAAGGTTTTGTATTGTTTTTTTTTTACCTTCACGGTTTTTTGTCAATCTTTTCCGACTATGATTCTACATTCTTTGAAAACTGTTTAAAATTTAAAGATTTAAGAAACATTGTTCAATGGTCATTAGTCCGTACCTCAAAAGGTAAAAAAGGAACCCTTAGAAGATCACTTTCTTGTCCGTCTGTCCGTCCGTCCGTGTGTCATCACCGGGTCATATCATATCAGGAACGGGTAGACCTAGCAAGTTGAAATTTATATCAGATACTGAGGTCTATGGTCCCCATTAGGTGTATAAAAATCAAGGTCCTGAGTCAACACGATAAAAAGATATGGGCAAATTTCGATTTTCGCGAAATATTGTATCAAAATTTACCTTAATTTTTTAACTTTTTTATTTTTCAGAACTTTCTCTTTACTAGTGCTGTAAGACCTTGCTTTTAACAAAAATTGACAATTCCAGGTCAACCGGAAGTACCCTATAGGTTTTGGGTCGAAAACCTATATAGTAGTTCCCGTTTACCTAGAATCACGAAATTTGGCAAAAAGAAACGCCTTACAGCACAAATAAAGGAATAGTTCCAAAATATAAAAAAATTGAAAATTAAGAAAAATTTTGGTACTTACAAATTTTCGCAAAAATCTACGTAAAATCTGGATAGGTACGGAACCCTCGGCGCACGAGTTCGACTCGTACCTGACCGGTATTATTTTTATGTTTAATCGAAAGTATGAATAAAATGTTTGACACGCTTTTTTCATATTCACATGTAGCTGGGTTTTTCAGTCATCCACTACTTGTTCATTAGATAAAACGTGCTTTCTACTGGTGCATTTGTAATAGGCAGGTATAAAATATTATACTCAATTTAAATACAAAATAAGTAAACCAATAGGATTTTTCATTGATTTTTACTTTTCCCGCCTTTCAGTAGTTTTTTGACAATTACAATTCATTTAAAATTGCAATTGGCTATGGTCGAAAAAACGGTACAGATATAACACCCACTTGTTTCGAAGGTTAAAGTCTTACAAACAATTCATTGTTTTTGTCTTGACTTGACGTGTAAATTTCGATACTGAAATGTGAAAACACTGAAATGAAAAAAAAATGTGACGTGTTAATGTGTACATTAACACGTCACATAAAATGTGAAAGTAAGGTTATTAACCCGCGGTGATAACACACAAGGCTTTGGCGCAAGGTCAGCAAACAGACAAGTGTCACACAACAACAAGTGAGTATTGTCTTTGAAATAAACATAATCATCATCATCAACAGCCTTTAATAGTCCACTGCTGGACATAGGCCTCTCCTTAGAAAGGAGGTTTTGGCCTACTACACCACGCTGGCCAGACGGGTTGGTGTAGGGTTTGTGTCAAGTTTTCCTTCTCTCTGCAGTGCTGTTGTCCTGCGTAGTTTTTCCCTTAGTCGGCTCTTACGACACCCACGGGATGAATAGGGATGGTGACTCTCATAAATATAGAAATATTAAAGGTGTAATTCAAACGTAGGCTCGGAACTGCTGTTTTAACATAAAAGTGACGTTCTAAATTTGATATTGTATATAAGACGGTGTAGATGTCATAACTACTTTTTAAATCGAATTAGTTCCAGATCTGAGGGTTCATAGTTTTAGTGAGTGTTTGGTATCGATAGGGCAGCCGCCTGATGGCTTTTTAATACAACAACAAGTTAGTAACATTGTAAATAGTTGTAGCCGCCATGTAACTACGCCGAATTCCACATTGCGGACAATTTGGCGGGCGTGCGTTTTATTTCAAATTTAGAACAAAGTTGTTTTAAAAAGTTTTATAACTTTAATGTCTTTGAGGGCTTTATAGTCTATTATCATTCTCATAATAAGGTGGTAGAATCTCGTTATATTTTAAAAACAGCACGAGAATTACGATAATAAAAAACGAGTGTGCTTTAGACCACACGACTGAAGTAAAACTTCTTGGCTATGAGAGATAGATTGCTCGCACCTCTCTATCTTGCCCCTACAACGTAACTCTCTCTCTTTCTATCTTCACTAACTTATATCTCCGTCAACATCCGTTCGCCTCGCCCGATCACACTTTTCGCAACGCTCTCGTCACGCATTCACCAGCTTACTCCCCAAGTCAAGCGTGCGTAAAGAAGTTTTACTTCAATAACTAAAGGCACAAACATACCCTTGCAAACGCGCGGTTGAACCTCACAGACAGGAGTTGGAAAAAGGCCTGCGTTTCTATAATACAGTCACGTGATAATAGCGAATGTGCGAGCAATGCGACGAATAACCAAAACTGGCGATGGTGATGCGTTACTGGATCTTCGCAAAAAATCCAAATGAATGTCATTTAAATCCTTTTACTAAAATCGCTCCTGTTTATATCTATTCTATTTTACTAGTAGGTGTTGTAAATGTCAAAGTTTGGATTATACATTCATTTGTTAGGTACGCAATCAAGGCAAAACTGCTGAGCAGAAGTGGTCAAAATAGATGTAGATTATAAACTGGACTAGCAAATGAACTACTTTTCATTTCACAGAAATAACATCTTTGAGAGAGTTGTCTGGAGCTGGCAATGAGGCCGTTTGCTAAAAATTTATCATAATTTGTGCCATGGTTTCCAGAATACGTGTGTTAGTGAGATGACGTGTGCGATTACTGCCTGCAACAGCGGCGGTGGGGCAGCTGCAGCCACCTTTACAGCAGCTCTACAGTTTTTTGCGGCAACACAATGCTTAATAGGAGAACCGTGGCCGATGAGTGCTTCAGTTGCAGGTAAGGGAACAACCTCTAATTAACATTTAAGTGAGAGCATTCCTTTGTTCAAGACTTATTACCCGTATTTTAAATTGAGGATATTAACTATGTAACGATATCTTTATCATCGTCATCAGCCTATCGCAGTCCACTGCTGGACATAGGCATCTCCCATTGCACGCCACTTAGATCGATTTTGGGCTTCTCGCATCCAGCTCCTACGAAAGGTATAATTTTAAGGACACCCTGGTATTTAGTTCTGTCATTATCATCTATGTATATATTATATATATGTATATAAATTTATTGCTTTTCTGTCAGAATAACTGCTGGACAGACTTGTTTTTTTTTCTCTTTTTCCGACTATAAATCTACACTTGCAGTTAGGGAATTTACCGTGATCGCTGGGAGTCTACTTTTAGGGGACTTGATAATCTTCTGCTATGCCCCACTTATATTGCCGCTTGTCTCCACTCCTAATCCAATCCGTATTCCTCTGGTACGCTCTCCTTCTATTAATCAGGATATCACCCAGCCGCCTCTCATTCAAGATAAAAGCTCGAGTTCCGCATTCTGGACACCCTAGCAGATTATTTACAATCTCAGTTTTATGTATTATTAAGATGTAGGTTTGAGTAGACATAAATTGATAACGGCTATGAGGTTACGCTCTGGACACATCCCATCCAGAAAGTTCACCTTTTTAATGGGTTTATCATCTACCCCAAAATTGTGAAATCTGTGGTGTGGTAGAGGACGTAGAACATGTTTTGATGGAATGTGTTCGGAACCAACAACTGAGAGAACGCCTGCTTAATGATAAGTTGATGGACATTGGAAGATGTAACAGCATCCTAGCCAGTCCTTTGACGGAAACAGCTAATGATATTTATACTTTGTATTTTCAATATTTAAGTTAAGTTTAAAACAAAAAATGGCTATGATGGAGCGACGTAGTCATCATTGTGGCTAAGCTAACTAAAGAAAAAAAAAAAGATGTAGGTTTATGTATGTGTATGTATTTGGTACGTATGTATGTGTGTATATTTATCTCATTGTTTCTATCTAACTTTTCAATAACTTTCTCTTAATATACACATCAATGTCTAGTGCACCTACCTAGTCATACATTTCAGCACCACGCTAAGGTAGACTATGAGAAATTGCTTGTGGCATTAGTCCGCCATTATTCAACTCGTATTTGTGCATAAAGAATTAAATTTAAAAAAAACCCTATTGGCGTCAAGCGTACTCTTATTACTATTAAAAGGAAGGCAATGGTAGGACAGGGAATATCCCTTCCCAAGTAGGTTATGGGGAATATAAGAAATAGGTCAAGCTGGTTTGAGCAGCATACCTGACAAAACTATAGGATTGGATACTCATAATTAAATTTAATAAAATATTTCCAGATGGTTCTCATTTTGATTTTATCATCGTTGGCGCGGGCACCGCGGGGTCTACATTGGCAGCCCGCTTGGCACAAGTTCACCAATACAACGTGTTGCTTCTAGAAGCTGGAGGACCACCCCCGGAGGAGGCAATTGTGAGTGAACCTGTCTTCACATATACATAGCATATGTTGTTTCTGCCAGAAGACCATCTCTCTTGTCTCTGCACAAATGCAGACCGTATTAAAATTTTATGTTTTTTTTATTGATTTAAAATAAATCGCTCTTAATATACAATTAAGTAATATATTAAAGGAAACCTAAACAGGATTTTCAATCTTCGTAAGTACGACTATGTGTCTACTTTACGTTACCAATTAAAATGATTATATTACCTATTGTAAGGTATGCGGTTAAATGTAGGTTTACTTATAGCAACGTAATAAAGGATATGATATTAAATAGGTACTAACCTATTTTGAAGTTAAAATAGACGCAGTAATATAAACCAAAAAGCAATATATACCAAAAAAATATAATCAAGATTATTTTTTTTAAAAAGACAACTCCCTCATTAGGAATATATCCCGTGTTGCGGGGGACTTTACGAACACACATGAAACGGACACAAATAACACCCAGAGTCAACAACAATTTGTAGATCACCCAAAGTTTCGTCCCATGTGAGGATCGAACCCACAACACTCAGCGTAGTAGTGAGCGGCGTGGCGACCGCTTAAACCACTTGTTGTTGTTCCGAAAGTTGATAGCTACAGAATTAATACAATCTCTTTTTCTTGAAACTATTAAGTGTAAATCTTAAGTTGATTATTAACAATTATGGTAAAATGTATTTTATGTTTTATTTTCAGATACCAGGCTTCAGAAATGTCTTGAAAAACAGTCCCTACGACTGGAACTTCACAACAGTTAACGATGGCTTCTCCAGTCAAGGTCTGAGGGGTGGCTCTCAGGTGCAGCCGCGAGGCAAGATGTTAGGCGGCACCGGCTCCATCAATGATATGGTATACTCCAGGGGAAATCCTGCAGACTACTATGAATGGGCTGATATTGTCGGCAACGTATGGAACTGGACGAATGTGATCGAATATTTTAAGAAGACTGAACGGATGACTGATGAGAACATTATCAACAATAGTGACCTGATGCAGCTGCACGGATGCTGCGGCGAAATAGAAGTGACGGGACCAACAGAACCCACTCACGTAACCAACAAATTCTTAGAGGCATTTAATGAATTGGGCCATGAAATTGTCGAAGATATGACAAATCCCTACAAAATAGGAACTGGTAGATTTTCTCACACTATTAGAAACGGTCGTCGAGATAGCAGTTTGACTGCGCTACTTAATAACATGCACACTGATAATTTAAAAGTGGTGCATGACGCGTTAGTAACGAAGATTTTGATTGAGAATAATAATGCTGTAGGTGTAACAGCGATAGTGAATGATGAAGTGATGGAATACTACGCGGACAAAGAAGTGATATTATCTGCAGGTACATTCAACACACCTAAATTAATGATGCTCTCTGGGTTAGGACCCAAACACCATCTAGAAGAACTTGGAATAGAAGTAATCAAAGAAATGCCTGTTGGCAATAACCTCCACGACCATGTTATGGTTCTTAACTATTTGGCCATCAAAAACGGAACTTGCGCAGTAGAGGAGAAAGATCAATATTTTGAAGTGATTAAGTATCTGTATAACTTTTCTGGAATATTTTCTCAATCTGACAGCATGGGTGTTTATTTGCCGGAGAAAAATGATGAATCAAAAATTCCATATTTTGCGATTTATCCTAATTGCATGCCGCGAGACGATCTCACCATGGAAAGTTGCTTAAGTGTTTTAGGATATGACGAAACCGTGTGTAAGAAACTAGTTACAGTAAATAAGGAACGTGAGCTTATAGTGCTACCCGTTGTTCTTTTGAAGCCGCAGTCCAGGGGCGAAGTCCGTCTTAAGTCCGTAGACCCATTTGAAGAACCATTGATATACTCGGGTGCTTTTAACAATCTTGCTGATTACGATGGTTATAGCGACGCAATACGAGCAGCATTGTCTTTGGTAAATACCACTTATTTCAAATCACAAGATGCTCACGTGTTGGATTTCATTTGGAGCAACTGTTCCGAGATAGAGGACGAGGAAAATAGAATCCATTGCATGGTGAGGGACTACGCGATGCCGGCATGGCATGCAGTTGGCACTGCTGCTATGGGCTCGGTGGTAGATGAGAAGTTGAGGGTGTTGGGTCTACGAGGGCTGCGGGTGGTAGATGCGAGTGTGATGCCTGTCGTCATCCGCGGTAACACTAACGCGGCTGTTGTGATGATCGCTGAAAAAGCGGCAGACTTCATCAAGGATGCTTACAAAGTTAGGAGCAGATTACGACAGTAGGGGAAGTTTTTCACCATTTCGTTAGCATGTTCCATCGAATAGTATTTATTTAGGCCAGTTAATATTGTACGTGTGTGTAATTATTCCATATTTCATGAATTGACTTATTTAAATATTTATATTTAGTAATATGACAAAATTTAAAGACAAAATACAGAGATACAAAAATCAACAACTTTATTAATATTATTAATATGGTGATTAAATGTCTGCTAAATCTATGTGTTTACCCGCCTGGAGCGGCAAAACATCGCCTAACGGACGAAAATAACGTTAAACTGAAAAAATATGTGCTATATAGCAGAGTATTTATTGAGCATCATTAAGGAACGCATTATAACCTGCACATCAATAAAGTTAGTACACTTTGAGTGTCAAAATAGCACGCGTCGCTCCACAAACAGCGTCGAGTAGAAACTTCCCTTAGGGCAATAAACTTTTGCAAATACTATTCCGACGAAATTTGTATCCGAACTGTCATTTTGGATAAAAGTGTGTCAGTGTCCATGTTGAAACACGCCGTAGATGGCCCGAGGTACGTAGGAATACCAGGAATTTCTTTTCTAGGGTACACCTGGTTCCCCCGGCAATTGGTTCCCGAGAAGGCGTGTGTTTTTTGGTCGGTTCGAATCCGACATGTGTCCGTGGGGTTGTTACCAGTTGTGGCCAGACGGGTTGGTATAGGGTTTGTTTAAAGTTTTCCTTATATTTGTTTCGCTGTTCTCTTGCGTAGTTTGCTCCCTTAGTCGGTTCTTCACTCCCACGGGATGAACAGGGGTGGTGACACTGTATTCTAAATCCGTCATCACAGAGATGAACTTAATATGAAGTATTCACAATCTTGTATTGCCCAAAGTATTACAGTTTTAGTTTTAACTAAAACATAAGTACTTTATGAGCAAACACGGTTTGCGCTGATGCGCATACTGTACTGTACTAACAACACTTAACTATACAGTCTTCAAGACTTGAGCAAGGCTATCTTCGAGGACCTAGGACTAAAGCTCGGAGCCTCCTTGATCCTTGTGCCCTAGAGTACAGCCTTACAAGTTTAAGGGTAAGCCGGGCCGAGCCTGTAACTGCCACCGTCAAGAATTCTTGTATTGTGACGACGCCTGTGTAAATAAAATTAATAATTCTTGTGACGCGACGTGCTATGCGCACGCATCAAAACAATATTGTGATTTATTTAATGATACGACTGTATCTAGCTGTAATTGAAAAAAATGCAGCTCATCTCCACAGCCACAGACATATAATGGATTAATTTCGTTTTTTTAAACATTTGACAAGACAGATTGCTTTTTTGTGTGATGATCTATGAATTTAGAGTCTAAGACGATTTCGGAAGGAAGTAAGAAAAAATAAAATAAGTATATACACACATATAGTAATGTGTGTTTTAGGATGGGTAAGTTAGTGTGTTCGGATGTGTGGTAGGCAATGCAAGTGTGTGAGGATATGTGTAATATTATGAACCAATAATATCGTTAGGGAATAAAATATACCCAGCATAATATTTGACTGTGGGTAAATATTGATAAGTGGTGATATTCTTGACGTTGGTGTATGGTTTTTTGTTATGGCTTAGGGGCAAGTGACAAACGCCGCCCATGGACCTGCAACTCAAAAGTCACAAGTGCCTTGCCATTTCAGGCACCGAATCGGGGAAGGGGAGCTCTGGTAACCTTACGCACTCGGTGAAAAACAATAAAATAACTGTTTAACTGATTTCTGAGTGGGCGTAAAATCACTCCAGTAAGATATCGATATTATTTGAAATCGTCTATTGTATTTTTTATATAAATAAAATGAGAAATGAACACGAGTGAAGTCGCTGAAATTACAGATAATTTGGTCCAATTAAATTTAACAAAACATAGGAAAAACAGAACACAGATGATGCTGTGTCTGCCCGTGGATCGCCACATGGCTGAACCATTTGCAAATGGGCGGTTACGCTAATAATATAAATAATATTTATTTAGATAAAGAATACAATATATATATATAAGATTGGTTCTTCAATTTAGGGCTGGTAATTGATAAACTGTATTGCTCTGTTAACAAAGTTTTTATTCTCATTGAACACTATTTTTTACAAAAAAAATAATTAGGTACTTATACTGCAACACCTACCTGTAAACAAAGAAACGACATTGAAGTTTATTCTTCACTAGCTATTCTATTTTATTATTTTCTCTCAAAATTTTAATCTACGTTTTACAATTCACTTTTCTGTCAATTCTTTTTTGCATTTGACACTCTTCATAACATAGCCTCAAAACTTACTCTGTTTTATCCACTTCACACGCACTACATTACCGACGATCTTAAACGCGGCAGATTCAAATTAAAGAACCAATATTATTGTTCTTTACATATATACGCTATAACCGCCCATTTCCAAATGGTTCAGCCTACGAACTTACTGCAATTCTTTTAGTGCACTATTGCTATAATATTAGACATATTAAAGAAATAAAAGAGTATTGTTATTAAGTCATACATACTAGTGTCCATGTTGACATTGTTTGATTTCATCATAAAATTAAAACAAAAGAACAATCATAAATTGTCAGTGAAATTCCTAATTTGGTATAAAACGCAGGTTAACGCCTGCTTATTTTGGTAAATATCGCAATTTTTTGATACCTACTTTTTACAGGCTTGTACGACTCAGCGTTAGTTTTTAAATACTAATGAGCAGAGTAATGACCATTATTATACGTGTGGTGACAGATTAAGAATACAAAGTGTCACCAACCCTTTTTTTTTTTTCCCGTTCGGAAATCCCCTCGGCTACCACCTGTCGGTGGCATGTCGGACTCGAACCGACTATAACCGCACGCCGTCGCGGGTACTAATAGCCGGGGAACCAGGTATACCCTAGAAAGGAAGTCCCTGGTGCCCCGGCATACCTCGGGTCATCTACAGACGAGTAAACGACCCCCCCGTGTCGGAACCCCATGTTCCCTGTGCTCCCTGGAAGCGAGCGCGATTCGCAACGCGCTCGCCGCCACCCCGGCCTGCTTCTGCTAGGGTGACAGATGGCCTCACCTGTCACCCCCAGGCCTGCGCTTATGGAGGACGGAGGTCGTTCTGCGACCTCCGGCGCCTGAGTCGCCTGCGGTACCTGGCCCGTTCCCGGGCCTGGCGGGCCGGGAGAGTCCTATCCCTCTCCCGGTCCCGCTCCGCCGTCTCCTTCGCGAGCATAACTTTCTCGCAGAAAGTGTCACCACCCCTATTCATGCCGTGGGTGTCGTAAGAGCTAATTAAGGGAACTACGCAGAATAACAGCACTGCAAAGACAAGGAAAACTTGAAAGAAGGTATAGGGTATACCAACCTTTTTTTTTTTTTTTTCGTGCGGAAATCCCCTCCCATACCATCTATCGGTGGCATGTCGGACTCGAACCGAATCAAACCGCCCGCACGCCGTCTCGGGTACTAATAGCCGGGGAACCAGGTCTACTCTAGAAAGGAAGTCCCTGGTGCCCCGACATACCTCGGGCCATCTACAGACGTCTGGCCCTCATGGTATAGTAGCAAAAACCTCCTTTCTAAGGAGACGCCTATGCCCAGCAGTTGAATACTAAAGCCTGTTGATGATGATGAATGAGCAGAGGAGTGGGAGAGTCATGCTTCGGCATAATTAGGCCGGGTCGACAGGAGTGATACCACGGCCTCATAGAAAGCTTGTATGTGAAAAGCAATTGTTTCGTCGCTTTTTACCGAGTGAAGGAGGTTACCATAACCCAAAAACCCTATAATTCTGAAGGGGACTGAAAGGGCTGCAAGCACTTGTCACGCTTGAGTTGCTAAAGTTACTTTTTATCTGGTGACCCGAGTTGGCCTAGTGCGAGTTTACTTCATAGATATAGAGAGATATCGCCGTCGAGAGCGAGTAGATACTCGCTCTCGACGGCGATATCTCTCTATATCGCGAAAGCGAGTTCGTTCGGCATTGATTAGTGATGATTTCAGTGCGGGCCAATCGCAACGCCGAAAGACGTCACCGTGACGATCGAGTTGATGTGAAGTAAACTCACACTAGGTCTTCAGACGACAGGCTGCCGGAGAGTTCTTCCGGTAAGCCCGGGCCCGATATAACATGGTCCGGGTTCTCCTTGGAGTACGGGTGGAAACACCTGGCTCCTGCATCCCCGAGGAGCCGCAGATCCAAAGGACTTTTCCACCCCGTAAACGAAAGAAAAGGACCTCGAGTAACGAAATCATTGTTTATAGAACTGTTACAGCAATCAAGTGTTTGAATATTCAAATGCTGACGATTACATGCAAGAGTTGATGTCAAGTTAGGTTATCGTTTCCCCCCATCAAAGGTGTCATACGTAACGTAACGTAACGTTAACGTAACCCGTCGTGTTATGGTTGTGTGACGTGATTAGGTTATGAGTGTCATTATACTAGGTATGACAGCACTTATGTTTGTTTGTTATGTGATGTAATGTGACAAAATACTTAGATTTATAACAGTTTGAAGATCAACGCTACCTGCACCTGCGTTATCTGGCCTGCCCTGTGACCCTGACTGCTAAATCAGAAGTCGTGGGTTCGAATCCCACCAAGGATAAATAATTCTGTGACAACACCATAGTCCTGTGTCTGGATATAATTATAGAAAGTAGAAATTATAGAAATAATTAGGTATGTTTATCAGTTTAGTATGGTTACCATAGTACAGGCTCTGCCTCTTTTGGGATCAGACGGCCGTGTAGAGTACTGGCTCCGATAGCTGTATGGTGATTATCGCGGTAAAAAACAGCCTACGTTACTCGCTGATAATGTAGCTTTCCGTTGGTGAAAGAATGTTTAAAATCGGTTTATTGGTTTAGGCGTGAAAGCGTAACAAACAAACAACCAAACAAACAAAAAAATTCACTTTCACATGATGAAATTTGTATATAGGCCGTATAGATAAATTACGCCAAGACACAGAACCAATTACCGTGCTCATCACACAATTATTTGTCCTGGGTAGGAATCGAACCCACGACCTATGACTTAGCAGTGAGGATCGCTTACCATAGATAAAAGACCTTTAGAACTTTTAGAAAAGACTTTAAGAAAACTATACCTACATATTATCAGAGCAGTATAGTTAGTACATACTGGGACAGTCGTTCAATTAAAACAAGAAAATAAACAAACTACCAAGTAACGTATCGCGGCATATTTGTCGACTTTCTACAGCACGTTCGTCTGCGCAGGCGCAGGTTGTGGCGCAGGTGCGAGCACGCGCCCCTCGTCTTGGATAACTGTTTCCGGCTCACTGGTGCTCGCTATGGGGATGGCGGAAGTGTAGGAATGAGACAAGGAACAGGTGTTTTAAAAAATATATATCTATACAAATAAATAAAATTTGAGTGTCTGTTTGTAATATTAACATAACCGCTTTTTACTAAATGCATATGTATGTTTACACGGTACATATGCCAAAATAACATTTTTTACAATTTTTGTCTGTCTGTCTGTCTGTTTGTTCCGGGTAATCTCTGGAACGTCTGGACCGATTTCAACGGGACTTTCACTGGCAGATAGCTGATGACATAAGGAGTAACTTAGGCTACGTTTTTTAGACTAGCTTCGCCCCGCGGTTATAACAACAAACGCGGGTAACACCGCGGGTCTCAGCTAGTTATTGAATATAATATAAATATTGCAATAGATAATACTAGCTGATCTGCGCCATCACGTTTTGGTGTCATTTTTCGTTTACGCTCGGTTCCTATTGGTCTAATCGTGATGATATATTATATAGCGTATTGCTTTCTCGATAAACGGGCTGTTCAACATAAAATTTAAGAAAGAACTGTTCAATTCCATACAGTAGTTCCTGAGATCCGTGTGGTGACGGATTAAGAATACAAATTGTCACCACCCCAATTCATCCCGTGGGTGTCCTAAGAGCCGACTAAGGGAGCAAACTAAGCAGGACAACAGCATTGCAAAGAGAAGGAAAACTTGAAACAAACCCTATACCAACCCGTCTGGCCAGCGTGGTATAGTACGCCAAAACCTCCTTTCTAAGGAGAGGCCTATGTCCAGCAGTGGACTAGTATAGGCTGTTGATGATGATGATGATGAGTTCCTGAGACTAGTGCGTTTAAACGAACTCTTCAACTTTATAATATTAGTCATCAACAGCAATTCATAGTCCACTGCTGGACATAGGCTCCTCCTTGGAAAGGAGGTTTGGCCTACTATACCACGCCAGCCAGACGGGTTGGTTTTTTTTTTACGGAATAGAGGGCAAACAAGCAGACGGGTAACCTGATGGAAAGCGACTACCGCTGCCCATGAACGCCTGCAACTCAGAAGTCACAAGCGCGTTACCAGCCTTTGAGGAAAGAGTACGCTCTCTTCTCGAAGATTTGAAGGTCGTATCAGTCCGGAAATACCGGAGACGATAACTTGTTCCACAGATTGGTTGTGCGGGGCAAAGTGTTTCAAATAAAGTGCTTTCAGAATGTGACACAGTCTTTCAAGCAAGAAAATTGATTACTGTGAAGTTAAGTCACTTAAATAACCAGTCGACATTTACCTATTCATTGTTAAAGCACAACATGATGACATCTGCTGTAACAACGCTTCAACTCATTCTACCGTAACATTAGGTAAGAGGCTAGAAATTCTTCGCTAATTAACCTTAATTTCATCAGAAGAAATTACCACACAGAGGTTGCATTTTTGACAATGTTTCGTTACTGTCAAGGTTACCTGCATGTGTGGGTGACCAAAGTTCAAATGAATTAAATAGTTTGCTACTGAATTGAACAAGGTGCACTCCTGTAAGACCTGTCTGTTAGTTTTCTTTATTTAAGACCACTCCCGCACTAGGAATATATATCATGTGTCGCGCGGGACTCTACAAACATACATGAAATGGAGACAAAGAATACCCAGACTCAGAACAACAATTTGTGGATCACAGAAGGTGTCGTCCCATGTGGGGATCGGACCTACAACACTCAGCTTAGTAGGAAACGGGGGTGACACCCTACACATAAAAAAAGTGGTATTAAATCATTATTATCTTTACATATAAACACATACATATATTCAAGCTTTAACCCCGAAGAGGTAGATAGCAGCGTATAAAATTTAACCAACATTTTGCTGAATGTAATTTTTGTCGCACTTACGCAATAGACCACACGAATTTCTAATCAAACACACTTATATATTCCTAAATACGTACATATAATAGATAAATTACACCTAGACACAGAACAAATGATCATGCTTATTATACAATATTTGTCCTGGGTGGGAATCGAACCCTTTTTTTTTTTTTTTTTTTTACGTGTGGAAATCCCCTCGGACCGTCACCCCGCCGGGGCTCTCGTTCGGCGGGGCGGTGTGTCGGACTCGAACCGACTAAAACCACACGGTGTGCCCTCTTTGCGCTTTTAGTTTAGGAGGGGTCCAGGTAGCTATCTCCTTCTGGACCCCTCCCAGCGCCGGCCCGCTCCTGATGCGGGCTCCGTCTCAGTGGACCCTCTCTTTAGGCGACGTCCGGCACACGCGGACGCCGCCCCCTCGCGGCTGGCCAACTAATGCGGGTGGAGGGGAGTGGGAATCGAACCCACGCTAACCACTATACCAACTGGCCAGTTCAGTTATCCATATTTTGTTTTATTAAATTTATATTGACTGAATCAAACTATTGTTGCGGTGGCTTGGCGCTATATTAACCTTTAATTTAAGAACACAATAGACAATATAGAATAATTGGTATTCATTTTAATGAAATAAAAAAAATGAATTTGAGCATGGCGGTACTGACGTGAGCTGCATCGGTAGTGTCCAGCGGTGGTCGGCGCAGGCGCGCGTGTTCCGCGAGAGTTGGACGCTTTCACCATATGCCCGCGGCGATCATCCTCCTTCGTAATTACTTACAATAACTCACTATAATACGTATGCAGTCTAGCGTTTAATAACCACGTATTTTGCGTTCTCATCGTTTAAAAAACTACATGCACACATAAAACCGCATACACCTATGTCCCCTAAGGGACAAAAAGAGGCGTAGATATTAATTAAAAACCGATACAGGATAATTACAAGAATCTTATCACAATTAGAAACGCAAAAGTTTGTACTGATATTTATTATTCAATTACGCCAGAACGGCTAAACGGATCTGGTACAGAGATAATTTTATAATCATAAACTAATATAGCACTGCTACTTTTATCCTGGAAAAACTGATAAAAAAATTGTCTTTGGTATTCTATCCGTGTGGTGACGGATTAAGAATACAGAGTGCCACTACCCCTGTTTATCCCGTGGGTGTCGCAAAAGCCGACTAAGATAGTAAACTGTGCAAAACCACCGCACTGCAAAAATAAGGAAAACTTGAAACAAACCCTATACGTCTGGCCAGCGTGGTATAGTTGTCCAAAACCTCCATTGTAAGGAGAGGCCTATGTCCAGCAGTGGACTCTTAAGGGCTGTTGGTGATGATGATGATGATCTTTGGTATTCAGATAGCAATGAATAAAATTGGCAATCTATAACCCTTAATAAAACAAGCATACACCTAATCTTAGGCAAGCGATAATTTTACAGTAAGGTCGCTTGCAATACGTAGTGCTTTCTATTTTTATTTCATTTTTAATAAACAAGGAGAGTTTCATCATCATCAACAGCCTTTAATAGTCCACTGCTGGACATAAGCCTCTCCTTAGAAAGGAGGTTTTGGCCTACTATACCACGCGGGCCAGACGGGTTGGTATAGGGTTTGTGTCAAGTTTTCCTTCTCTCTGCAGTGCTGTTGTCCTGCGTAGTTTTCTCCCTTAGTCGACTCTTACGACACCCACGGGATGAATAGGGGTGGTGACAGTCTGTATTCTTAATCCGTCACCACACGGAAAGGAGAGTTTACTAATTCCCTAAGCTAGCACGCAGCTATTTAGGGTTAAAAGAGTATAGTTGTGTGTAGTAAGGAGAGGTTGAACTTTGGATTTGGAGTACATTAGAAAATCAAGCCTATCCTAACGGTTAGAGGTTCTGAATTGCTTGTCAATTTAAGATCGCCATCATTGGTGCTAATTCTGTTGTTCGAAAACTCTCTAAACTAAACTAAAAATTATTTAATATTAGTTTAGTCCTGTCAAACAACGTTTCTTTCATTGTGTCATTGTGTCATTTGGCACAGGGAGTTTTTCTGATGAAGTCCTAATTATTCGTTCGTTCGATGATACTGGACCTGAAAATATTGGAATTCCTCGAATCCCAATATTTTGATATATGATAACAGACATATTATCAAATAGTCAATTTTCGCATTAACTGTTCAGAATTTAAAAACTTCCACAAGATCTTCCTTCAATTTTTTTTCTAAATACCTATTGATGTTAAATAGTATTTAATTTTGCGATAACCTGGTCTGCTGTAAATTTACATTTTGACAGCAGTGAGCTCTAAGAAAGTAATGAAACTATAAGCGTAACATATGAATAGAGGCTTATGGACCTTTAATTATCCGGAACACACTTCAATTTAAAATTGTTAGATGTTCCGGCTGGAACAATACAGTATCGCACTAAAATATTCTTATCAATGGAAGCGTCAAAACAACAGGTGGTAAAGCGGCGCGGGCGCAACTTTCACCCGGCGCACGAGCACGGCGCGGAGGCGAGCGCGCAGTGTGTACCTCGCCGCGCACGCACGCGCCGCCTCAGTGATGTACCGCGATGTCCGCGCCGCGAACCGACGACCCCGCGTACGACGCACAAGCGACTGCAACCGTATCCAGTTTAAAATCAGAGAACTCCACCGAACAGCTGATATGTAAAACGCCGCAGAAAAAAAATAAAAAAGTTAAAGATGACAAAGTGAAAGACAAACGCAGTGTCTGTTCGAAGAGTGTTGAGGCTGGTAGTGATGAGTCTAGTGCGCCGAGGAGGTTGGTGGTGTTCCTGGGGCTGGCGCAGGTGGTGCTCGGTGCGCTGCTGGTGGGCAGCGGCGCGCTGGCCGTGGTGAAGGGCGCGGCCCTAGCGCGAGTGGGGGCCGGCTTGTGGGCAGGCTGTGTCGCTGTGGTCGCTGGGGTTGTTGGAGTACTCGCCGGTATCAACGACTGCTATGGATTGAACGGAGGAGCTAATGGGTATGTACAATCGTAATTTGTAAAATGCCCAATATAGCTTGGTACGATTTGCAGACTTGAAACATACAATTGTATAAAGCCAGTTCAGCATTTTATATATTTGCAGAACTATGAAACGTAATTACTTAAGAAATAAAAACTTCGTAATTGTTACTTATACAAAAAACTCATTAGATATTAAATAAATATTGTATACTGAAGAATATAAATGATTTCCTTAAAAATTCTATCAAGAAATTATTACATTTATATTGTAGTACTTTCTTGTTGGAAAGTTATAACAGACAAGCGGCCATTTAATTGATAAAAAACCTATTAACAAATACAAGTGTATTCTGTGGACAGCACACTGTATGTATTTACATTCTCATAATTATTTAAACAATTTGTGTAAGTTGTAAACGTCGTATTTTGTAAATAAAACTGAAATTGACATATTACGTAAAAGTGGTGGTACGTGTGGTGACGGATTAAGAATACGGAATGTCACCACCCCTATTCATCCCGTGGGTGTCGTAAGAGCCGACTAAGGGAAGAAGTGCACAGGACAACAGCACTGCAAAAAGAAGGAAAACTTGAAACAAACCTATACCAGCGTGGTATAGAAGGCTAAAACGTCCTTTCTAAGGAGAGGCCTATGTCCAGCAGTGGACTATTATAGGCTGTTGATGATTTATTTATTTATTTATTAGGATCTCCTACGAAAGATATACACAAGTAAAAAAAACAGTAATTAACAGAATGGGTTTAAAGTCGGTGTACTCCTTCACTTACAGGAGACCACAGCAAGCAATGATGACGTAAAAGTGGACTGTTCCTAATCACATTGAGAAGTGAGGATATATCACAATGTTCTCTAGGTCAATTCTCGTAATAAAAGTTCGATAAGCATTCAGTTTCGATCAGCTATCATAAAAGGTATTTTTGTAGTAAAGTATTAAGCATCCAACGTTGACTGTAATGTGATTATATCGTATTGTAACTGAAAATTGAATCGCTAATCTGCTAGTCTTAATAATACTTTACTATATTACAACGAAAATACTTTTAATAACGGAAGATCGAGAGATGATCAGACCTTTTCATTCTTTTTTTTCTCTGTTTAAAAAGACAACTCCCGCACCAGGAATATATCCCGCGTAGCGGGTGACTTTACAAATACTTTACTATTTTACAACGAAAATACTTTTAATGACGGAAGATCGAGAGATGATCGGACGTTTTCGTTCTTTTTTTTCTCTGTTTAAAAGACAACTGCCGCACCAGGAATATATCTTGACTGTGACTTTACAAACATTTATTCAAACGGACACAAAGAACAACTAGACTCAGAACAACAATTTGTGGATCACACAAAGTGTTGTTCCATGTTGATCCCTCAAACTCACTCCACTACGCCATCCGTGCAGCTACTGAGTGCAACCAAATAAATTTTGGCAAGAATTGGCCTACGTACCAGTGTAAATGCTAATCAAAGAGAAAGTGATCCACCAGTGAAATATATAAACACACGGAACACAGATTTACGAGACCGTCTTTGCGACAAAATTTACCGTATTTCTAACATATTTGACGGACCTTTGATTAAGCGGTTAGCGCTGTGTCTCGCGGTGTTGTTGTACCTTGCTCATCTAACGGGTACACTACATTTTTTCGAGATTAAAAGCCTATGTGCTACTCCAGGCTATCTATCTCTGTGCCAAATTTCATCATAATCCGTTCAGTCGTTTTTGCGTGCAAGATTAACAAACATCCATACAAACTTTCACCTAATAATATTAGTAAAACAATACTAGACAGCGTTCTCATTCTGCCAGTTGATAACGGGACAGATGTATGGCTACCCTGGCTTCTATCATTCCCTCATCTGTTTCTTGCAGCATCCCTAACTCTAACTTCCTTACAATATTTGCTTTTCTAATCCCTCTTTCTTTGTCCAGTCTGAAAATAATTATTTACATTCCCAAGCATTGGTTGGCGTCAGTGGCAGGAGAAGAAACCACCCAAAAACTTTCGTGATCTCTAATATTATTGGCAAAAGAGCAGGGAAATATAGTGTTGATTGGTCGCTGTCTCCATTGACTTTAATGTAGAAATTAGAAATTATTACTTTCTTAAACCATAACTACCACGAATGATAATGAGAACCTCCTTATCGCAATAGACCTGATGGATATCACGCTTTTAATTGACGTTAAGTGTGTTCAAACTATAATTGTACACCAAAGAGGAAATATAATAATACGGAGTGTCACTACCCCAATTCATCTCGTGGGTGTCGTAAAAGCCGACTAAGGGCGCAAAATACGCAGGACAACAGCACTGCAAAGAGAAAGAAAACTTGAAACAAACCCTATACCACGCTGGCCAGACGGGTTGGCGTCTGGCTAGCGTGGTATAGTAAGCCAAAACCTCTTTTCTAAGGAGATGCCTATGTCCGGCACTGGACTGTTATAGGCTGTTGATGATGATGATGACTAAAAAATTAAACTAGATTATTATTGCTCCTTATGAACCAAAAGAAAAGAAAAATGACCACTATTTAAAACGGATATTCTTGGTAAGCACTCAAGTGATTATAATAAACATCAAAGTTCTCTGGGTTGACACACAAAAAAAACATTTAAAAAAAATGTAAGTCATGTGCTAGATAATCTGTGCAAGTTATTTTATATCAAATATTTGATGGCTCGTAAAAACGTGTAGAAAAAACCGCTACTTAACTGATATTATACAGATGAAAGTATGTTGTTTTTAGGAATCCGTAGTCCTCACAAGGAATTCTAGTAGTATTGATATGCCAATGGAGTCCGTGTGGTGACGGATTAAGAATACAAATTGTCACCACCCCAATTCATCCCGTGGGTGTCGTAAGAGCCGACTAAGGGAGCAAACTAAGCAGGACAACAGCACTGCAAAGAGAAGGAAAACTTGAAACAAACCCTATCAACCCGTCTGGCCAGCGTGGTATAGTGGGCCAAAACCGCCTTTCTAAGGAGAGGCCTATGTCCAGCAGTGGACTAGTATAGGCTGTTGATGATGATGTTGATGATATGCCAACCTGCCTGTCCGTCCGTCAGTGGCTTAGCTTAGAGAATAATACTTCTAGACAGCAGTAATTCTGCAAGGGTACATTGAAAGTAGTAAAACCGAAAAAGGTGAGATGATTTTTCTCGTCCATTCCATATTGCTGGGTATCATTGGTGTTTTTTATGGTATAAAAAGATGGTTGAATGGGTTTTAAAAAAATGATTGACAGAGTGTGAAGACTACTTTTGATTCAGTGATTCGATTTCAAAATATTAAGCTTTAATGTGACAATATTTGTTAGAAACCTACCCTGTGCAAACTAAACTATTGTCTTGAAAAAACTCTCCTTAGAAAAGAGGTTTTGGCCTACTATACCACGCTGGCCAGATGGGTTGATATATGGTCTGTGTTAAGTTTTCCTTCTCTCTGAAGAAAATCATGATGCAAATAACTATCAAGGAAAACTATTACGGCTATGTTCATTCTTTTAGGTTTACAATAATAGTAGTCCAACTTATAAACTACGTCCTTAAATGAAAATTGTTTAGATAAAGTTGTTTAGTTGTTTAAAACAGGTAGTAAGAAACTGCGGAATCCTACAACGCGAGTGGCCTGACACGCATTTCGCCAGTTTTTTTTACGTTACGGAGCCGCCGCGGAACACATTTAGGTATTTAACTGTCTAAGAATATAAAAATATTGACAAAAATGCAAATCATTTCTTCACGTAGACGTTCTTTAATAATAATAACTTCCATTATTATTCGTTAATAACAATGGGTGTCTTTGTCCTATTTATGAACTACTAGCGATCATCTGTCATATACCGTTTTGAATATCTTATTTAATTAACAAGTTTGATTTGATCTGTCATTGTATGACTGTGTTTTTTTCATGACAGATCAAGATGTACACTTGTCATTTATAGTTTTGTATCGCAGTTTTTACCCGACTGCCTAGGAGGGTTTTGTTTTCGCGCGTATTTTTTATTCGTATGTTTGTTTGTAAATTTCTTCATTACCTTGTAACTTCCAAATGCCTGGATGGATTTTGACAGTTAATATATTGCTTTATCCGTCTCAAAACCCCAAGTATATTTAGATGGCTTTTTGAAAGAAAAACAAAATGGCGGAATGTTAGCGTTAAAATAATAATAGGTTAATAAAACAATATCAAACAAACCTGTCGTGTAGGGTATCAAAATCAAGAAAATTAAAAGAGGTCTTTAAAAATATATAAAGTTATATATTTAAATTTAATAAGGAATAATAAATTATTTTATAAGGTTCTACTACGCATAACTTTTAATGGTCTTTGTGTACAAATGTTTAAAAATGACAGTTTACTTAATCTGCACTTATTTTATACTACCTTTAGCCCGCGGCGCCGCCCTCGTAAATGTCGGTTATCACAGTAAAATAAAGCATATGTCTTTCCTCAAGAATCAAAGTATCTTTATACCAAATTTCATCCAAATCGGTTTAGCGGTTTAAGCGTGAAGAGGTAACAGACAGACACACTTTCGCATTCATAATATTTAATACAAACATTAATTATTCCAAATATAATATTCCTACTTATGTGCGCCATATTTGTCTGAAAAAGGGACAAAGAATTTACTTCTCGTATTAATAAATTGATAAACAGTTATGGTTTTAAGGATTGCCTGACACAGTCAAAACCACATATCATAGCTTAAATTATTAATGGGAATATAAGTTTGTTTTTGTATTCATGTATTCAACCTACTTAACCTATGATAATGAAATCATCGAGCAAAACTATAGTTTATAATGATTTAAATGCAAAATCTATAAATTAAAGATAACATGATTGTTCACAAAATAATTTATTTAGTTATACCATCATTTTTATTACCCGACTTTGAAAGTAGATTCACAGGCAACGAAAATCTGCTTTCTTTGTTTCTTCATCAATACTCGTACATCTTCAATTCAAATAAATAAAAT